TATACTCAGCTCTTCTTGTTTCATAGAGAGCTAGCTGGAACGTTTGCTCATTTGTGTCAGCAAGTGGATGTCACACGAGAGAATCTTGAGCAAGAAATTTCTGCCATGAATAAAAAAATAGAAGTTTTGGATTCACTGCAGAGCAAAGCAAAACTGCTCAGGTGAGATTTGATTATTCCATACAATTGTTTTTTGTGTGATTGCCCCAGGATGTTCATGTGAGCTGTAGCTTAGAGTTCATTCTGTCTTCGTCATAGCACTTGATGTGCAGGTGTCAGCACTTTTCCCTACCAAGTCATGTTCCTTTTCACTAGGTACTTTCCTATGGACTGTTGACAGTTTAAATAACTGTCTCACTTCTGTCTCACAAAGCACCTTTTTCTCCCTGTTTTTTATTTTTTTGGAATTACAGCTCCTTCCCATTTATGAAAACATAGTCTTCCACTCCTACAAACTCCTTCAGGCCCATATAAAATTATGCAAAAAGTCTTGCCTTCACCTATGTACCCAGTTGTCTCCTGCTTTCTTTACCCTGCAGAGGCTATTGGGAACACTTTTTCAAGCATTCCTTACCTACACCATAAGACCAATGTGAAGTTGTGTCCAAAATCTCTGTTTAAACCTCAAAGCTTAGGTACTAACAGCAGGCAAGCATTCTTGACCTGCAAAGGAATGGCAGCAACCTTTTGGAATGAAGCTCTGGCACTCCATGCCTTGCTGTGTACTCATTTTTGTTGCACTTCTTTCTGACTGGCTTGAGAAGAGCTGTTTCATTCACCTAACAAAACTTTCTGTCCTTGCAGGAACAAAGCAGGTTGGCTTGACAGCGAGCTCAACATGTTCACACATCAGTATCTGCAGCAAAGCAGATAGTGTGAGAAAAAGAGAAAAACAGCAGTTTCCCTTCAGTGCCCTCTTAATTACTGCAGAGAACGTGGTGGGTGGTGGAATTCCCTAAAGGGAATGAGCAAGAGCATACTGCTGTGTTTCCAGTTGCTGTGTGAACAGTAGGATTCTGCTTCCCTGTTCTGTGTCCCACCTCTAAACACTACCTGTTAATAACTTCTTTTTCCTTGTGAGACCAGGCTACTTCAGGAGGAGTGTGTGCTTTATACATTTACAGGGGGCTTTTACTGTACTTCATTTTGCTTTAAACAATTGTAAAGCAATCAAGCAAATGTCTTTCAGGTTAAAAGTTATTCTGACACATCTTTATGGAGTCATTTGTTTTACTTCATAAGGACAGAACTTTTGACTTCCAGGCCCCAGGTAGACGTATGTGTGACAAGCAGTTGTTTGCCTAAACACAGATCCCACGCACACAGACATGATGGTGGTTTCACAAAGCATTTATAGCCCACACAGGCTTGTCTCTGAGGTTAACATTCCGTTGTTCTAGAGCATAACAGAAAATCACAATGTCACTGCATAGAAAGGTTTATTGCTCTCAGGATGCTTGAACCTGTGAACAAAACCCAGTTCTCCTCTGGAGCAAAAGGGATTAAGATTTTCCTTAAGCTTAGTGAATTTGGAGTTAGTTTCTTCCTCTTCAGAGCTCGTTAATAACACAGTCTGGCTTATTTCCTGTCATGGACGAATAGTTTGCAAAGACAGAACTAGTTCCTGGGAAGGAGATAGTGCTGATAATTTGGCAGCTTGTTGAAGAAGAAAACTAGGGAAGAGAAGCCAGTTGACACAATGCAAAGCACTGCATTATGAGCTCTGTTGATGAATGTGGGGCTTTTTTTGGAAGAGCACAGCTGTCTTTCTGGAAGCAGGCCTGTGGAATTCCATTACCACTATTTGGCCACAAGAACAGCATGTGGATTACACACTGTAAGAGATGTTGCTTCATGTAGAGTTCCCACAGGATGTACAGTGGGCAGCAATAGGATTTGATATGTTTCTCTTCTGTTAAAAGTATTAGAACGTGCTGGCAGGTGCAGCTCCTCTGGGGTGGGGGGAGTTGTGGCTCTTGTAGTTCATGCCAGGGCAAGAATGGCTTAAAGCAATTTAGTTTTTTAAATACACTCTTTATTTGCAAATACATGAAATTAATTGTTGAGTTTTGCCCTGATGCATTTGGAATATAATATTTGGGAATTGTAAGGACTTGAGTCTCTTCCAGTTGGAATTTGCAGAGAAGAAATTCTGGCTGATTTCAGGAGCTTGAGTAGGATTAAGTTCCTCTATTGCAAGCTTCTTTTTCTCCTTGTGGGTCAGTATTTTGCCATGTGTTGGTTATAATCTTTCTGTTGCCTACAAAATGTCTGAGGAATCCAGAATCAGATCTTGTAGTTGTGAGGTTAGTGACAACCTGTATCTCTTCAGCATCACACACATAGAATATGGGCTGTCTTTGAGCAGGTCCCAGCTGAATTCAGAACTACTGAGCAGTTTTTCATGTTGACAAAGAGACTTTTCCCTTGAAAATGGCTTTAGGATTTCTCATTCATGCTCAGGTGTGAATATATGTGCCTGTAATAAGTCCCATGTTTTCCATAGCATGGAACTTCCAGAAAAAAGCTGCCTGATACTTGAGGGAGTAAAAATAGTGAAATGTCAGTAAGTACTTCTTAGGTAAGGCTGTTCTGAGATTTGCAGAAAGACTTGAGGTATCTTCATTGTGTAGGAGCTGGTGGTGAGACATCCCTAGAATGCAGAAAGGAAACAAACCTTTCCCTTCCAGTAGAAAGCTTTGACTCCAGCTCAGACCGAAAAGCTGTTTCTGTCAGAAGGTTTTTTTGACCTTGACTGGGTTCCTCAGGCATCCACCAGGATGGGAATATAGATTTGATCAAATCTGAGAACAAGCAAGGAAGAAGTTAAAGTCCTTGCTTTTGGAAGTGGGTACTCTGAGCTTGAGGTGAAGTATATTGGAGTAAGTGGAATAATCTAATCTTACTCTGCTGCAGGTCTTGGTTGAATAAATTTGAATCTTTAGTCTCTCAAGCTGTCACATACACAGCTATAATAAGCTATGTTCTGTTCCATTGAGTTCAAATGCATGTCCCTAATACTCAAGGATATTGTCAATTCCAGGTCAAGGCAGAGGTGATGTTCTACTGCTCAGCAGCTCGTGACTACTTGCTTTTGATGAGGTAGTGTTCTCTCTTCAGCTGGCCTTTAGAGGAAATCTGATAAATGAGCTGATCTTTAAGCCAGTGTCTTATCTGTGAAGGGAAAAGAGATTGATGGGTTCTTAGAACCCAGTGTCTTGCTGCTGTGTGTGTGATGCTGCTCAGGCCCTGGTGCTGTTGACATTCTCACTGCAGAGCTGAAGCCTAACCTACAGAATGGGGGAAAGAACCACTTGAACTTTTTCAGAAGCAAAACTGCTAACATACGTGGGTGTAATCCTTGTCCTGGAAGCCCAAGTGATTGAGAATCAAACAGGCCTATAAGCTGGATTCCTCTGAAAAAAATTACAGCTGTACTTCTTTAATTGAGAGTGGTGGAGGAATGAACACTATCATGAGTTTGTTCTCTTCTGATTTTTGTAAAGAATGCTAAACTATTCCTTAAAACAGGTAATTCCAGAAACAATCTTCCCCAAACTCCCATTTAAAGAAGGTCAGCTAAATGCACTTTTATCTTATTGCTGCTACTTACTTTTCCTGTTGCATTATGTTGATGGAGCTCTTGGAAATACTCTTACCAGTGAGTTTTCTCTCTGCTGTATTTAAGGTGATAAATTTGCATGAGTTAGTCCTGTAACAGTGCTGTAAAAAATGGAAACCAAAATAAAAATGAATTGGAAAAACATTTCTCCTGGTGTGTCCTGCATGTTGTGACAGTCTTCCAGTGTAAGCATATCAGCTTACATCAGTATGTATAGCTTTGTTGCTTTGTGTTACTGAATTGCATGTTAGACACTAGTGACCTTTTTCTGCGTTCTTACTTTGAAAATTAACAAGGAGACCAATGACACTGAATTGCCTGATAGAAAGTTTTAGTCGCACTAAAATTGTCAGTATTGAATCAATGATTTCTTGAGAACATTGTAGGAAATAATAGTGAGCAACTACTGAATTGGTGGCCCGAAACGGGTGGATCAGTATCCTCAGTGTGAAAAACGCCAATCACTTGTTTTTCAAATGTTAAAAGTTTAATAGCAGTAATATAATTAGAATAATAAAGTTTGAACAATTGAGGTTAGGACAATATGAGACAATAAAAACAAAGAGATACGGACATCCGGGTACCTTTTTCTGGGCAACACGAGCCCGAAAAAGGACCCCGGTTAACAGAGGATTAACCCTTAAAAACAATCGCCTGTTGCATATTCATACACCTCATACATGATGCATAAATTCCATTCAAACACAGGATTCTGTCTGGTCACTGTCAACTTCTTCCTCTTAATCCTCATGCCGTCTTCCTGTCTGAGCGAGGTGGGAAGAAGTTAGTTTTCTGCTGATAAGGGAGCAATAAATTCCCTTTCTTGAAAGATTTAGGTGTCCTGCAACCGCCATCCGGTGAGGGCCCCTCATTCCTTTCTAAGAGAAAACATTCCACATACGTAGTTCTTATTTTAACGAACAAAAGCTACTCTTTTTGCTATGAAACTACATTTACCATAGTATTAAAATGTTAATACAGCACTACTCAATACAACTTAAATGTGTAAATATCTGCGTAGAGCCATATAATATGCACTTCTCACACTCAGCTACCGAGTTACATCGGGCCAGTTAGAGAAGGCCTGATTTCCCGTGATGAGTTTCCAAAACAATTCCTTTGGGCTCTGGGGGTGCTGGGGGTACGTGTCCCTTTTGACACGGAGCGCTGGGGGCACGGTGGTGCCGGGGCTGTGTCCCGAGCCCTACCCCGCACCTGCGGCCGGGCCGGGCCGGGCCGGGGCTGTGTCCCGAGCCCTACCCCGCACCTGCGGCCGGGCAGGGCCGGGCCGGGGCTCTGTCCCGAGCTCTACCCTGCACCTGCGGCCGGGCAGGGCCGGGCAGGCCCCGCAGGATGGTGCCGGGGCTCTGTCCCGAGCTCGCCCGGGGGAATCCCAGCGGCGGCCGGAGCCGGGCGGGCATCCCCCGACTGCCGGAGCCGGGCGGGCATCCCCCGGAGCGGCGGGGGCGGCGCAGGTGGGCCGGGAAACGCGGGGACTCGGAACGCTGAGCCCCGGAGCCGCAGGGCCTGGCGGGACTCGCGGGCTCCCCGCACTGCCCGGGACGGAGGGACGGAGGGAGGGAGGAGTTCAGCGGTCTCTGCCGGCTGCCGGACCGGCCTCTTGGGTCGGAAAGGGCAGTTTAAAATGCTCGGGCTCTCTCGCTCGTGACCGCGGCAGGCCCGAAGCAGCGCGTCTGTGCAGGAGCAGCGCGGGGTGCTGAGCAATCCCCTCGCAGCTCAGCTCCCGAGACAACCGTTGTTTATTGCTAACTGCGGGAGGCGAAGCTCCTTTTCAGAAAGATTTCAAATTACAGCAGTTACATAAACCTGAGACCCCGGGGCTGGGCACGAAGGACCTGTAGATTATGCCAAGAGTGGACCTCATCTGGTAAAACCCTTCCAAAAGTCCCTTGACTGATGTTATTTTCCGAGTATTTGCTTTCTGATGAGCAATGATGAGTGGATGCTTATCAAATCTATTAGCTTTGTCCTGTGAAGGCTGTGAGAACTACTGGGTTTTTTTCCAAATTGTCTCAAATATAGTGCCTCAACACTGATATTTCTGTTTTACATTTTGTAGTGCACCTCTCCCTTATTTTTGTAACAAAGAGTTGTTGTAGTTTGTTGATAGTTAGCACTGCTCTTGGTTCCTCCCACTAGTGTTGTATCACATGTGCATTTGATTCCTCATGTCCAGTTGCCAAGGTAGCAGATGCAAAACCAAACTAGATGAGCTTTGCAGAAGGTTTTAGGGATCCTTTAGAACAAAAGGTCCCAGAGAAACACATAGTTTTCTTGAGAACATAATTTATCAGTCTAGTCAAAAGCAGTGTGGGAGTTTGGGTTTAGGGTTTGCAGCTGCTTTATTTAAAAATCCACTTTCTGCAAATTTAGAGGAGCTTGTGATATTGTAAAGATGTTGAACAGTGTGACAGCCTTTCAATCAAACTAGGTTTTATTTATTTATCTGTTTATTAACTCCTTTTCACCTCCCTCTTCTAATAAAAGGGCATCCCTTTGTGGGATTTAATTTAATTTCTGGGATTGGAATTGCCTGAACTGTAGTTCTGAGTCGTAGTTGAGCCTTTTTGGAGCCTTCCTGCCCAGGGAACATGGAAGACAGCTTTGACTCTGTATTTCTTTTGGATGTAGCAGATATATTCATGTAATTAGTTATATTTTAAACTTCCAAGCATCCTGGTGTTATCACAATATAAATTTCAATGCTTCAAAAGAACATTACAGCAGAATTGCATAAGTGTGTCCTAAATAACGACCTCTAAACCAAATTTTATTTAGCTTTTTGATGTGAATTTTTAGCTTATTTAGCTTTTTGATGTGAATTTTTCGTGTTTACTGTTTTCTCTGTCAGAGTTTACTCTTTTCTCCATTAAGTCAGCTCCCAGTTTCTGAGTGCAAAATATTTGGCAGTATGTCCAAGGGGAGAGAAGCATCTCGTGCTGGTTCTGAGCATAAGGAGTTTTGAGACTGACTGATCTCTCAGGAGCAAGAATCAACATTTCAACAGCTGTAAGTATTTTTTTAGGAAAAGTCCCCTGAAAGTGTGTCTGCTTCTAATGGCTTGAATTTATGTAGTTCACTCTTCTTCTGCCTTTACATTAAAATGTTTTTGTAGGATGGACTCGGAGCTCCTGAACAGGCTGCGCCAGGCCAACCAGGAGCTTCTGCAAAGGCTGAGAATAAAGCAGGAGGAGATCAGAAAAGGACTTCCCAGCAAGAAACGCCTTCCAGCAGCTCTTCATGGCAGTCCAGCTGCTGAGAGATGGATCCCCTTGTCCAGCAGAGTGGTATGTGTGGTGTATGTGCTAGAAATTCAAGGAGCAAACGGGCCCCTATGACAGACTGCAGCTCTGCCTATGGTTTGCTGTGGTCAAGGAGACACATGGACATGAAAGAGCTCTTAGAAAGTGGTATGTGGAATATAGAGTCTGTTAGAAAAGTCCTTTGGTTGTTTACTCCGTGGTCTCAATCTGTTCTCCTGGTAAAGGGTTTGGAGATCAGTCCTGCCTAAGAAAGGCAAGTTTCTTCTTCTAAGATAGGAATGACCACTGTCGAACAAAATTCTTTTGTTTCTTCTAAGCACAAGGGCTGAAAGTTCAATGGTTCCTCAGATCAGGAAAAGCTGCATTTAGTTGGAAGTGGATCTCTTTCTTATACTCTCCAGGACTTTTCTTTTTCCCCTGCAGGAATTTAAAGGAGTGAACAGACTAGAATGAGAGGTTGATTAGTGAGTGAAATGTTCTTACAAAAGGTATTTGTAGTCTGGCTGATGATACGTGTTAAGAGAGTCTGTCCTTACAGAAGGAAAATGAGGCTGATGCAGTAAAATCTACAGCTGACCCTGGAATAATGGTGTCTGTGGAACCCAGAGGTGGCCCAGCCCTCAGCTCATCTCTTAAACACAGCAGCAGTGCCAGAGGGCTACAGCAACAGCAAGCAAACACACAGGAAGGAGCAGACCTCAATTCCAGCCTTCCTGGGAAAGAGAAGAGTGTTGTGCCAGTGTCAGCAGTCACTACGTGTGGCAGAGAAGTCTCCAGAGTGGATGGGGATGGTGGTGCTCAAGGAAGTCCAGAGAAAGAATCCTTCTTCCTGGGACATGGAGAGAACAGAAAACAGTCTGCTGTGCTGCATGGTTTCCATGAGAAAAGTCATCCAGGGCCATCACAAAACAAAGACACCAGTAAGAAGCAGGTGGTCATCAAAGAGCCCCGTGTCCCTAAATCAGCCCTGCTGATGTCTCCATCCAAACAGCCGAAGGTAAATGTTAAACCAATGCTTTTCTTATTTTCCTAAGTCAACAGAATGATGAGGGGGAAGGGTCAGGTGAACGTTACCTGTTCCCACTGTGTAAATTGGAAGCTGGGGTCAGAACTGTTCCCAGCTAAAGCAGCCAGGGGCTGTTGGCAGTTTGTTCAAGCCCTGCTTTCCTTGGCCAGTGAACTGAAATCCAGAAATCCCTAACACTTTTGCATATGTCATCCACATGCTGAGGGAGAGCAGGCAGGGGCAGTGCTGCTGTTCCACAGTTTGTCTCCTTAGGTGTGCAGGGCAGGCCCTGGCTGTGATCATCCTCCATAGCAGCCCAGGTTGTCTCATCCTTGGCAGTGTGTGATGCAGCTCAGCATTTTGTTTAAAGCTCTGAAAAATCCTGCCTTACTTGGGCAAGTCCCTGCCTCCTCTTTCTGTTTTGTTTACTGACAAGACAAAGAGCTGGTCAGCAAATTACTGGTAGAGGCATGGATGGAATCCAGTCTCAAACTAAGCCACAGCTGTCCCATCTGAACAGCTTTGGGTTGTCTCCTCAGCTGTACCTTTGAATGTCCTGCCAGGTGATTAGGAAGTTGTTCTGAATTGTTTTCTTTCAGAAGGAAACTCGTCATGTGACTTTTCAGTCTGACCCTGAAGAAGATGCCATACCTGTCAGCAGCTGGTCTGCCCATCCTTTACTGGGCTATGACTGGATTGCAGGTGAGTCCTAACTCTGAAGCAAAGCTCTCAGTGTGTTGTGGTGATATTTAGAGTTAAAACACAGTTTATGACCCCTTTGGGGTGTGATGGAACTGCTGTCCTAGGGCCAATGAGCAGGTCCCAGCAGAGGGGCTGCAGCTTTGTCTGAGGCCCCTCTCCAGACTGGAGGTGACCTGTGCTTACCTGGAGTGGTGAAGTGGCAGTGATATGGGAATTCAGGCAGCAAATGGTGAAGCCTGGTGAGGCCAGAAGGGATACCAAATACCTGGAATGAATGAATGCAATAAGGGACCCAAACCACACAGTAAATCTCTGGCTTGACATGATGTTCTGCCCTTCTCATTATCATTATTTTGTTTTGACTGTATCTTGTGAGGCTTGCTTTGGTAATTTCCCAAATTTTGTAAATCATTGAACTCTTCTCTTTCCTTGGTCTTCTCAGGGCTTCTTGATACAAAGTCTCCAGTAACAGAAAAATCTGAGCAATACTTTGCTGAGCTGCATGAGTTCCGACAGTCCAACAGAGAAACCTGTATTCATCAGCAGCACCTGGAGTAAGTGGCAGTGGGGAAGGGCTGAAGCAGCAATGTTCAGTCCCTTGGTAATCCCTGTAGTATTGATAAGCATAATCTGATTGCAGCAGGATGTTGCAGGCATGGCTTTGAGGGTCTTTATTTACCTCTCAGTCATGTGTGCTTGGAAGAGGCAGTGCTGTCCAGAGGGCCAATCCCTCTGTCACTAACTGATTTTCTTGTGTGTTTCTTTAGGCCTGAGGCTCTGGATTGCACCAGTCCTGAAGAAGAACTGGATTTGATAATTGGTTCTCATAAGTGTAAGATCATATTTCTTCCTAATGTAATTTCTGTGAATCAACAACTAAGCAGTCTTTGCCTGTCATCCTGAGAGAGCACCACATCATGCAAGACCAGCAAGAATGTGTTATTTTCAGCTGCAGCTTTTCAACCAGATTCAACATCCTACTCCAAAGATACTTGAGTCTTCTAGGGATCCACTCTCAGTGTCATTTTAATTCGTTAGGGTTTCTTGTAATTGGCTAATGTTCTGTTTCTAAATTGAAGAGCTTGAAGTTTTGGTTTTGCTTTTTAGGAACTTACTTGGGGACAGGAAATGTATAAGATATTTCAGGAAAAGCAGCTCTTTTTATAGAATGCAGATGTGGTGCTGTGATAGAACACAGCTTTTTTGGCTGGGTTCAGGGAGCTTGTGACAAACAAGAGCCATGATGAAGGTTTGTTGCTCTGTGCAGGTGTTTACTGTTACGGATTAAACCAGCGCCTCTTCACCATCCCTGCGGATGCAGAGTCTGCCTGCCCTGTGTGTAAGATCCCACGTAGCCAGCAGCCCCCAGGGACACTGGAGGAGCCAGCCTATGTCAGGTAAATAAGAATCATTGCTTTGTGATGTGCACAAATAGAAACAATAGAGAAAGAAACAATAAAGAAAATCTGATCAGGTGAAGGAGAAAAGAGCGTCCCAACAGTTCTGTAGAAGGTTGCTGTTTTCAAGGCAGAGATCTCTTGCTTAAAAACTCCTTACTGATCTTTTCTATAATCACAAACAGTCTTAAAATCAATGAGAAATGCATGTTTTGTCTGAATTTGAACCAGAATCTGAATGTACATGTAAAGTGTCTACTGCCCTAATCCAGAATGTTTCACTTGGTTCACTTTGGGGTTAGACCTTGGATTCTGAGTGGGAAGGCATGCAGATTCCCTGTGCCTTGGCAGAGGTGTAGTCAGTTCCTCCCCTTGTGTGGTTCCAGGGTCAGCATTCCCAGGTCTGCCCTTTTGCCAGCCCACAAGTACAAAGCCCACCGCAGGAGGAGCTTTGAGCCAGCAGATGATCTTGCCCTGCCCTCGGTAAGTTGCTCTCTTCCTGCTGATGGCACAACCCCAGCTGGTCCTTGATGTATAGCAAGAAGGAAAGAGAATCTGGGACTCATTCCCTTTGCAGAGTTTCCACTAAAATTTTTGATATGCATCAGCCAGATGCATATCAAGAGAGAGAGCATTTGAGATAGCCAGAACATCCTTTGGTGTGTTCTGAGTTCATGCCTTTGTGTGAATGGCATCAAGTGTATGACATATTTCCAATGCTTTACACTGCACAAAAGAAAATGCCATGTGGAGATTTGGCTGACTTGCTCCAGGCATTGGCCTCTCAGCACAATGAACCATAGCTAAGAGTACCTGTGTTTGTTTCCACACATGTTAAGGAGTCTGAAAGGCAAGTGTCTATAAAGTATTCACAAAATCAGGAGTGGCAAAGGTGGATTTAAAACTGGTGTTGTATCTGTGGGCCTGTATTCCAGCCAGTAGTCAATGCTGCAGGCAGCATTGTTAATTTAACCTAGCCCAGGCCCAGAGATTTCCAGGGAAGAGCTGGGAGGAAGTTCAGTTCTGCGGTTTAGGGAACTGGATGAGTCAGTTGAGACAGGTTCAGAGGGGTCAGGTGCTTGAGTTCACAAACTGGGAGATCAGTTTAGAAAGCTGGAAGAGGGGACAACTGTTTAATTCTCCTTTATTTGAGATTTCATTTATTTCCTGTTAGTCATATAAAACTCCTCAAAAATAATAGATTAATTACTCACTTAAACCTCCCTGTGCAGAAGTTACTTCTAAATAATAACAGGCCACAATAGATAAAAAAGGAAAAGCATTCCCATCCCTTTTCACAGCATTGCATGGCTGGCTGGGAAAACATGGTTCCTTCCAGCAGCACCCTGCTCAGCAGTTTGGATCTGAGAGCCTCACTGGAGGAGAAGCCTTCTCCCTGCCCTCACCTGGTAAGCACAGCCTCTGGAGTCCCAGGAGATGCTGGGAATTGCACAAATGGAAATTGCAGCCCCATCTCTAAAGGGTGTGATTATTGAGGGCAAACAAAAGTGCCTGGAGGAGTATCTCCTTATCACCAGTGGGAAATGTGTTCCTTCTGCTGATTGGTGTGCAGAGGCAAAAAAGCAAGTGGAGCTGAGCAAAAGCCTGTTCAGCTCACCAGTCTTCATCAGAATGGGAAAAGTCACTGTGGCATTCTTTGATTAATACCCTCTTTGTTTGGATTCCAGGACTCAGTGTCCAGAGTGTCAGGAAAAGCCAGAACTGCCAAGTTTCTACACCTGCCTCACTTGGCTCACTGAGGTTCAGCAGAGCAAACCAGGACAGCAGGCAGCAGCTCTCAGTTCAGACCCCACTCCCTCAACACTCTGGATCATGACTTGATTGCCCTGGGGAAGGGATGGGCAGGCACGTGGAAACAGCTCAGAAACAAAGCAATTTGGATAAAAATAAATCTTTGGACAGATTTCCCCCAGTTTTCATAGTCATGCACTTCAGTGAGCAGCTAATTTATACAGATCTGAGCTTGTACAGTCACTGTGTTCACTTTGCATTTTTTGCCTTTTACAGCTACTGAGCAGCTGCATGAACTGTCCCAGCTAGGCTGGATGAAGTCCTGTGTGCAGGATCTTTAGGGCATCTGCCACCTCAGCTGAGAACCAGTGTGGCATTAACTCTGAATGCCAGCTGAGGAATTGGCCTGTGAAGGGCCTGGCTCAGTGGAGTGACACAAATATGTTTATTTTCAGATATTTGAAACATGACACACAGTTTTCTACTGAGTTAAACTTGAGTTCCTCAGTGATTTGTAAAAAATTTTAAAATTCAGTTTATTCTCAGTGCAATGTATGTAGCTACAGAATGTAGTACAACAGAGTAACTTTGAATGTGAAAAAAATCTTAAATGAGATTTAATTAATCAATGAGCTAGATAATGCCTTAAAATGGTTGCATATTTTGCTTACCTCTACTATTCCAAGTTTTCTGGAAATAAACCAAAAAAGCATTTTAGAATTTTTGAATTGTACAAAACCAAACTACTTCACATAGTGTGATTTGTTTAAACTTTATAGACCAATCTTACTTTCTGTGTCTGAAAACAATAAAACTGATGGTTTATTTTGCTTTAAATTTTCTGAAACAGAAGTTCCTGCCTCAAATGTATTTTAGGGAGCTAATTTGAGAGGATGAATTTGGTTTGTGCAGCTTCTTGGCATTCACTTACTTTTATATTATATACATTATTTATTAAATCAAATATAATGTATTTTTGGGATCTAACTTGAGAGAATGAATTTGGTTTGCAGCTTCTTGGCATTCACTTACTTTTATATTATATACATTATTTATTAAATCAAATACATGAATACACTTCATAAAAAAGGAGAGGAATATTGCAAGCATGATTTAGCATGACTTTAGCTTTGGGTTATGTATCTGTAGGGTCAACTGAATGGAATTGGTCACATAATTTCCATTATTGGAAATGCTAATTTAAAAATATACTAATCCAGTGACTATAGAACACTGGGTGCCAAACTTTATACCAAATAGGGCAAATTCAACATTTTTCCTACTTTGCCTTCAAACTCAAGACATCATAAACATTTCCTTAATTTATCCTGAAATAAATTACAGCAAGCCTGTTCCACACTATAAACAGAGGGAAGGTAATGCTGTGGATTGAGTGACCCCTGTTAGATCTCTCTGGTGGATGCAGGTTGGAGCCAATGTTGAATTCAAAATGTCTCTTGATAGATGGGAGTGCATCCAGTCTGTCACACCTGTGGAAGTGTTGGAGGTGTGATTGTGACCCTCTGTTAGAAACAGTGAAAGAATTTGTGATGCTGCCCCTGCTCACTCACTTTTGTCTCTGTGTGTTGCTTCTGGCCTTCATTTACAAGTTCAAACAGCCTGAAAATGCTCCTGTTTGTGGAGCTTCTCTTTTAAATTCATGTTCCCTCCATCTGCCCTGCTTGGCCTCTGCAGTGGTTGAGTCCAGACCTGCCCCGTGGCCTTTCCCTGCTGTGAGGGGCAGTTTGAGTGTGCACACAGCCGTGTTTTGTTCTGTAACAAGGAGCTTTGCACGCTGGCTTTGTCCTGCAGCGTGGTGCACAGTCCTGGAGAGCACACCCGTGCAGGACAGGGGGCTGGGATGTCACCTGGGTGGGGTTGAACTGGCCGGGATGAGGGAAGGGATCTGAACCCTGACTTCATCTTCCAGAAGGCTGATTTATTATATTATATCATATTAAAATGATATACTAAAACTCTACTAAAAGAATAGAAAGAAAAGATCCATCAGCAGGCTAGAAAGAACAGGAATGGAATGAATAACAAAAGCTGGTGACTCCCAGAGAGTCAGAGCCAGCTGCATCCGTGATTGGCCATTAATTAGAAACAACCAACCTGCACAATCACAGCTGCACCTCTTGCATTCCACAGCAGCACATAATTATTTACATTTCTTTCCTGAGGCTCCTCAGTTCCTCAGGAGGAAAATCCTGGCAAAAGGATTTTTCATAAAATATCATGGCTACACCTGGTTGTACATTGTAAATGAGCACATCTACTTACTGCTTGAAAAGTTGCATTTCAGCCAGTGTTAAAGCAGCTTCTGCACTTGGACAGTGGGCTCTGTGCTGGAGCCAGTGCTGGATCTGCATTTCCAGGGAGAACAGAGAGTGGTGGGGGTGTGTGGGGTTTGTTGGGATTGTGGGTTAGGAATACTGAAATGTTTTGAGGCCAAGAGTTTCCTAAGCCTCAAAATAATACAAACACTGGACTTGATTGAGTAGACACAGAGGTATGGGATAGCTTGTCTGCTGTTCCTGGAGGTAGGCTTGACCTGGATTTATATTTTTCCCATATTTAGCACTGAGGAACATGCAGGTTTAGTCTGGGCAGCTGTGTATCCTGTTGATGGCTGGATCTGTGTGTGCTCAATTGTGTCAGTTCTCTTCTGCCTGATGTTTTGGTAGTAAAGCTGGTGGTTTAATTCCCCTTTCTGGCTGTATTGCATATATATAACACTGATTCACGAGATGGGAAATCCAGCTTTGCTTAATTAGACAAATTAGATGCAGTAAATGATGTATTTGTGATTGTTTTGAACAGAACAATGAAGTTCAGCTGTTAAAATACAGCTCCCACCTACATCTCAGTACCAGTGTTAGATGGTCTTTAGTGTTTGTTTGCCTTCTCCTATTAAGATAATTTTCATGGTGTCTCAGGATCAGGTGTTTCTTGCTGCCAGTAAGAATTAATATCAAGAGTTTTGAATGAATGTGGTGCTGATTTATGTGTTCTGTTTTGTTATCAGCACATCAAGCAGTGACTGACCCCAGAACTCCCAGGTGAAACAGCTGCATGTGGCTTGAACTTGCTTTTTGAATCATTTGCAAACTTTGATTTTGGGGGCTTTAATCTCTGGAACCTGGGTTTTCAAAGCCCATAAGGATTTGTTTTCAGAGTGTCTCAAATTTGAAGATGCAAGAGAAGTTCTGCCCTCTCTCTTTGCAGCCAAAGCCCTCAATTTCACCAGCTCCCTGGATAATGGCTGACCAAAACTAAGGACTTGCTTTTCTCCCTTCCATTGGTTTCTGCAGAGCAAAACTGCCAGGAAGAGGAAAACAACACCCTAAATTTTTAGGGCTGAGAACCTCAGTTAGTCAAAGAAAAGAAGTGTTTGGAAACAGTCATTGGAAAAACTACATCCTGAAAGTCTTCCCATTTGATTCTTTCACAAAAATGATTTAATATTTCCCAAGTTTCTTTTGTTTATGTCCACAAAGGAAATTTCATCTGGTTTATTCATCTGGTTTCTGTTGTTAGTTCAGCTTTTAGATGTGGAGAACCAGAGTATCAAGAAAGGATATGAGCTACCCCAAAGGTCTGTGACACTGTGGGGAACTAATGAGTCCCCCAAACCTTTTTATCTTCTATTTGTGATTAAAATGCATAGAATTGGAGCTCTTGATGCTTTATCAAATTGATTTACCAAGAGTTTTTTCTGTGGAGAATGACCATGTGTAACTATACCAGAAGATGTAGTCAGAATTACTGAAAGTACAGACATGGTGTGATCTCTCATCTAAGGTCATTTCCCTCTCCCTCTCTGTCTCTCACAGCCTGTGGACATAGTAATTCTGTGATATGATTTTGGTTTTTCATAGAAGCCCCAGCTTTCTTAAGAGAACTGAGTTCTCTGTCAGCTCTTCTCATTTTTCAGTCTGACTCAAAATGTGCTTTAGTTTTGAAGCTACTATGGGGCAGTAAAAGACATTTTATACAGATTTTTTTTTTGTTACATTAGTTATTTTATCCCTTTATGTAAGGCAGTAGTATTAGTAAAGATAATGAAAACAAAGATACATAAGATTTTTTTGTCCACATAACATTTATCTAAATGACATGTAAAGGAGTGTAATTGGAAATTAAGTCCTGTTATCTTAATTATTAATATGTTAACCTTTTTTTTCCTGATGGTACCCCATTTTAAGCCATTGCTACATTTTAACAAGTGTGCAACAAAAGCTTTAAACCATCTTCATTGTTGATCACAATGGACAAATGTACTAAGGTAAATTGCTGAATCAAGACAGCTCTCAGATCAAGTTCTCAAGAGCACCTGCTGTGTATTTAATCCATTAAATAAACATAATTAAATGGATTGACAGATATGTAAAACTAAGAATGAGAAGTGTATGGGTCACCAAATAAATATCAGTACCAGAGTGGCACAGAGGGGCAGAATTTTGTCAGTCTGTGGTATAAATGAGGTTTTGTTTCCTCCACGTGCAATATCAGATGCTGTGTCAGCTGCAGCCAGTCCAAAGCCCAGTGACTGGCTGTGTGCTGGATCTCAGTGAGATCCCACTGCTCCATCTGTGGCACAAATGAGGTTCTGTTTCCTCCACGTGCGATTTCAGATGCTGTGTCAGCTCCAAGCCCAGTGACTGGCTGTGTGCTGGATCTCAGTGAGATCCCACTGCTCCAGTGTTGCTCTCCCTCTGTCTGTCCTCTTTGGCTGTGGAAGGATTTACTGAGAAGCTCAGTATTGGCTTTCAGTGCCTGAAATCACCGAGGTCCTGTGTGTTGTTACCAGCGTCACTGCCCGGGCACAGAGCTCTCCCATGGCTGCAATGCCTAAAGAGATCAAGAAAGGCAGCAAGAAAGAAATTCCTGGCTTTCTTCCTTTCTTCATTTCTTGCTTGCCTTCTTCCCTGCACTTCTCATTGCAGGAAATGCCTTCATTTCTCTTTTCTTTTTTAATTTGTACCCCAAGGTGTGTAGTGTGTATCCCAGCCACCCCTGCCTTCAGTACTCCTGGGGCTCCTCATGAAGTTTCAGTCTCTGGCATTGTTTCATCTGGCTAATGGGAAAGAATTTGGTGATTTTTTTTTGGTCAGCATTCTGCTGACAAAATGCTCTTGATGCTGTTTGAGTGGTCCTAAAAGCACAAGACACAGTTGGGTGATGATAGAAGCTCCCTTTATAAGGATCCTTACAGCGCACAAAACACCAGATGGGAAGTGCCAGAGATGAACACAATTTTTATGTGTTTAACAAATTAGCAGACACAATTTTTATGTGTTTAGCAATTTAGCATAACTGACAAGAATCCCCAGCTAGAGCCACAGGTGATGAAGTAACTCCTCCCAGGTTCTACCCTTTTCTGAAACCCTCCACCCTCTTAGATAGGAACTGAATTTTCTTTATGAAAATGTGTCTCAGAAAGCTGGTTTCAACCTTGGACCCCCAGGGCTTGGAGCCACTAGGGAATTTATTTTGTCTTTCTGTCTAATAGAGTGGGTAAAATGCTAGCTACAAATACAATAATAGGCTACAGAGCTACAAATATATATGTAAAGAATATAGAGAATATATAAAGGCAAAAACCAGTTTGGCATCACTCTGAATAGCAACACTACCAGACACTGAAATACAGATTTTAGACAAGGTATTTTAATATGTATGCTAAATTTCATTTCTTTCTCTGTCAGAAGTTAAGAGATGACACTTCTCTTGGTGTTTTTTTTTCCCATCTTGTACAGCTAGATTTATATTAACTGAGCATACATATTTGAAAGCAGAAGAAACCATGGTAAAAGTACAACATGAGATTA